TATACATATTTCTGTACAGGGGAGGGGGGAGGTATATACATATTTCTGTACAGGTGAGGGGGGGGTGGTATATACATATTTCTGTACAGGTGAGGGGGGTGGTGTATACATATTTCTGTACAGGGGAGGGGGGAGGTATATACATATTTCTGTACAGGTGAGGGGGGGGTGGTATATACATATTTCTGTACAGGTGAGGGGGGTGGTGTATACATATTTCTGTACAGGGGAGGGGGGAGGTATATACATATTTCTGTACAGGTGAGGGGGGGGTGGTATATACATATTTCTGTACAGGTGAGGGGGGTGGTGTATACATATTTCTGTACAGGTGAGGGGGGAGGTATAATAAGAAGTGTTTACACACATGTATAGGGGAATAACAACCAGTCTGATGCCAAACATGCCAGGTACAGAAGGTGAATGGGTCATATTGGGCGATATATATATAAATATTTAATTACCTTGTTTTGGTCTTTTTATCAAATCCCAATTTTCTTCCCTTTAATAATATGTTGATTGGCAGCTTTTAGAGCTGCGTCATGTGGAAGTAATGATACAGTTAGGAAAGTTAGGGAGGTTCGGCTGGGATATAATCGAACACTCCAGCCCTCCTACATCACACCCCTCGGCTCTTTTGATTGGCTCGGCGGCACCCTCTGGAGGATCAACGAAAACCGCCGGCAACTGGCAGCTCTCGTTTTACCGGGGAGATGATGCCGGGATTCTGAGGGGCAGTGAGGACCGGACTATGAAGTGAATTGGACTCTGCAATGGAACCAAAGACCCGGGACAACGCAGGTAAGAACCTTTTAAATCCCCTTTATTGCGCTCTTGTCTGTTTTTGTAATTTTCTTTTCTGTGAAAACTTTTCTTGCACAATTTATTTTCTTTCGATACAAAGATATTTGACATTGTTCAGCAGAATCTGTAAAAGCTCTAACCGGAAACGTGAGAAGTCCTGGCCTGCGTTATAGACTCTGTTACCTTCCTGTGTGGCGTGGCAGCAAATGTCACAGACATCTCTCGGAGGTCAGAATGGGTGCAGCAGATGCTGTGAGCGGTGCGTGCTTCTGGGGTGACTACTGTATGTGCGTGTGTGAAGCGTTCACCGGAGTAAACCGCCCAGTTTTCTCTGTGCAGGGCGAGAGTCATGCGTCACATTCTGATGGCAGCGGTGGGATTTGGGACTGCCGCCGTCACACTTCAGTTCTCTGGGGACTCTTTGATCTCCACCAATTAGATTGCCTCCTCCTTCAGGTATTTTTACATCAAGCCGTATGTGATATTGGCCTCTGAACCTCCCCAGTCCATCGTTCTCTGATTGGCTGAACGCCTCTGTCCTGAAGG